ATATCGAGATCTGTGGGTTGTCCATAGAACCACAATGTAAAATAAAAATGTTCTACGTATTTTACTAATTATTAAATAAATAATTTCATTTAATTTGTATTACTTAATTCATAGGCGTTCAATATTTTTTTTTCGGAATTAATATAATAGGAATAATTGAGTTGCAATTGTTACCATAAACAATGTGATCGGATTGCACTAGGGTCAAACACAGGTAACGGCCGAACTTAAATCAAAAAAAGATGATATTTTGCCATTATAATAAATCTAGATAATTATGTTGTATTTATAATGACGATTAATCGTTTGAATCAGGTATATTGGAAAACCTGTTTAATATTTTCGACAAAATCATGGTTTGATTACAAAAAGTATGTAAATGAAGATATTATTATGTTATAGTTGCAATTCGACTAAAATAAGTGGAATTCGACCTTACTCTAAATATCGTGTACACAATCGTATTGATCCGGGAAACCGTATGCATCGAGTTTTCGCGTCACCTGCGTCGGAACAAGATATCATAACAGTACGAAAATTGACAACCAATCCAACATTGAAGCCTTGCCCCCCCCCCTAGGTTTTTCAAAATTTAAATTTTTTAATAAATTTTTGTCCTTGTGAACTGTAAAATCCCGAATTTTTAATTAGATACCTACCTAACAATTTTATTTTGCCTAAAAAACCATATTACGACATTAATATGAGATGTGTATCATAATGTAGGACGTAGTCGGAATCTGTGTCTCAGTACTAATTTGGAGAAATAACTATTATCAGTTAATACTTAAAATGGCCCCACCCCCTGGTAAGTTTCTGAAACCGAGCCTGGGCTTAACTCGGTGTACACTCTGCGGACGACACCCAAATGGCGCGCGGGGAAAACAATGCAAAAATTCCGTTTACGGTCCCGCGTGTACACGCATTTATTGCGTTTCTCGATTCGTCAGCACACGTCGGTATCTCGATATATTGAAATCGATAAAACGGAGATGATTTATGCTCGCCTATAAATACGATGGTTTCCTTCGTTTTCAACCAATGCCATTAATATTATTATTATTACTATTATTATTCAAGCACACTTTAGCGATAACTTAAACACTCGTCATTACGGATAATTGCATTCACGCGGTCCCCTCGTCCGCATTCGCACTACAACAAGGTCACCGTGTGCGCACCGTGATGAGTGTATAAATTGTATAATAACGTCCAGTATGTGCACACACGTAGTTGCACCGCGAATATGTGTCATTCGAATGTACGCCGTGTTCGCGTACCGAAATACCGTAGTCCGGACTCTCGGGTACCGAAGGAATCGCATATTGTTTTCTACATTCGCCCCGTTCAACGCTAACCTAGATTCTGATTTGATTCGTATACTACCGGATCAAAATTAGACTCTTAGATACCGAGAGAAACGTAAAGAACGTATTGTTTTTACCCCGATGTGCGTGTTGTTTTTTTTTTCTTGTCCGTGTATCCCGACACCGACCGGTTGAAGTGCTCAGATTAATGATACCAAATAAAAATTAAAAGTTAGAAAATGGGTTCTAGATGGTACTTTTGATGGATCATATTTTGAATTTCCCATAATTATTCTGAACAATTGAGAAAAATATGCAAGAAACTTGAAAATTCGACTGAGATTTGAACCCCTACCACCAATATTATATTATTTTATTTTATAATATTTTACATTATTCTTTCACGCACTATTTAATTATTATTATTGTTATTATTATTATTTTCTTTCCGTAAACACAATATCGACCAGAAGGAATGCTCCGATCATCAGTCTTAGAAGTCTTAGAGTCTTACTATAGTAGTTTAAAGAAGCGCATTCACATCCGAGCCCTAATTATAATATAGTTTAGGAGATATGCTTCAGTAATATTTTTACGAAAAATAAAGAAAAATAAATATTTATTCGGCAGATGATGAATAATATATAACAAGTGATATAACTTATAACTTATTATGTATATATACAGCGTAAGAGCTCATGAGTCGTCACGAGGCGTGCGTTATTATTACATTGTTTGGGCACACGAAAAATAAAATCTTGATTCGGCCATAACTATTCGGTTTATTTCACAGTTCTATCCCACGCGGACCGTGATACCCATGTTCACCGTGTCATTTGTATAATTGTAAACATACGTTTTGTTCGTTCGTAAACACAACTTAAAATAATAAGGGTAGTGGTAGGTATCAACCCTTTGCGACGATCTATATTTGTGTTCTTCAAAGGATGCCGACAGCAATCAATTTGGTGGGATGGAACGATAAAAAAGAAAATAAATTAACATGGTTTGATATTTTCTCAACAGACCGAGAGTTATTACACGAGTATTCGACGGTTATGTTATACGAATAACAAACCTATACGTATTACTTATATTGAACATAGTAAATCGATCATTCTACGTGTTTAACCTTCTTTTCTTTCTTTTTTTTTTTTGTTATAATCGATAAACCTTACCTATTACCTACATTGGATATTATTATATTTTTTTATCGTTCTGTATTTCAAAATTGAATTTATTATTCAGTCACTATTAAGCTTTGTTTCCAATGCTCGAAATGGAAAAATTTTCGAACTGGAACTCTTTTTTTTTTTTTTTTAGTACATACCATAGAATTAAAGGCTTTAACCCACCAAAATTATATTTTCCCCTTCCTGAAATGCTAAGTCTTTTTTATTACATAAGTTATACCTACTATTTTATACTGTTTAAGTTAAAATTATATTTTGGCAAATCATTTTTTTTTCATCTCTGATGCTATGTAAAGTGTTAAAAAGAGTGCTAAAACCACAGACGTTTTATCAGAGTGTAAAATGTTTCCCATATGCATACCATTTAAAACTTGTTAATCTATTATATATTTCATTCGGTAAATCAACAAAAGGTCTTTGAGTTTTTACAATTTTATAAATAAATTTAAAAACTAGAACAAGTTTGGAAAATCAAAACGTCATGTCAACAACATATAATCCAAAATTTGTTATTATATTTATATGTAGGTATCATAGATACGATATTTAACGATTTTCTTTCAGGTATGAAAACAATATTTTTAGTATAAGGTATTTTATAAAAATAATACTTATATAATATTTGTATATCCCTTTCAGAACTAATAATAATAATAATAAAGATGAAAATAATACGGAAATTAAATACTATTATTGGTAGATTTGGGTAGATCGCGCAATACTTGAAAACAAGTTTGGTAAATCGCGTATGACATCACTACCTATTTTTTTTACTAATCAAAGTTACCTAAAACAAAGCATTAAGAACATGACTAAATCTTTCTTTAAGGGTATAAACCATACCTATATACCTATCTACCTGCCAGGGCCGGATTTAGGATTTGTAGGCCCCTAGGCTCAATTGTGGTGTGGGCCCTAATAGAAAGTTTTTAGAAAATAAAAAGGGCATACACACGAATAGAGAAACTATTAACTAAGCCATCTCTAAAACATTTTCAAATAATTTTCTACCCGAAATCGAGGGTAATGCAACTTTCTAACTTCTAGTTTTTTAACCGAAAATAATAACATTTAAAATATAGTAGGTATAAAAGTGTGGATTCAATTATCACATAGATAGTAGTTTTTTTTTTTTTTAGTTGTATGATGGTGTGGTGAGGGCCCTGTTGTGGTGCGGGCCCATAGGCTACAGCCTATATAGCCTACGCTTAAATCCGGCCCTGCTACCTGCCCAACGTGTAGGATTGAGTGTTTTCAAAGTGATATTTGACATAGATTCTGAGAAAATATTCAACTTTTCCTATCGTACAAGGCTCAATCCACAAAACAATTGTAGATATTTTGCACATTTTTAAAAAACTGAGATATTTCTTGTCGTTCTTGCTCGTTTCATACAGAGAATCCTGTCGCTATCCACCGTCGCGTTTTTATTTTTAAAGAATACACGGCGACCCGATATCGTATGTTGCTCGGCCGTAAACGGTTAAAATAATATTATTTCGTAACTTTATTACACAGACTTCTATACTAACTTGATAAACTACTCACCGAATTTATCATCGAGAATGATGAAATCTGGCGGAAGTGCTCTTATCATACATCTACCACGTTTTCAGTTGGCAAAAAAATATTAAATACTTGCTGGTTACTATTCTTACTATTTCTTCAATAAGTAAAATTTAAATAAATGAGAAGACATAAAAGTTACATTTAATTAAGAGGAAAAAAAACAAATACTGAATTATTCACGACATAAACATTTTTAACATATTAGTTTAATATTAAAACATACAGTACCTATCACAAATTATAAAATACAACTAATTTAGTTAATTGATGTCGTTTATTAACAATATTTGAAGTTTTTGCTTTAGCAACATGATGTGGTTGTATTTATAAATATTTTTACAGATTACTATTACTTATTACTAAACATAATCTATGATTTTGTAAAATGAATTATTGAAAAACGTCATATTTTGTAGAGTATTGAAATTATAACAATCATTCTTGGCTGAGAATATTATTTTTTACAGATAAATCAGATATAATAGAAGTAAAATAGCAGGTCAGATTGATTAAAAAATTCCCAATGTATTTAAGTCATTTAAAAAACACTATTAGAACTCTTTAATAATCCTCCTCTAATTTTTTACATCAATTAATATGAAATAAAAATATTTATGACTATAGTTTAGTTCACTTTATATAATAAAGAATATTATCTTTCAGTAGCGTAGCCAGGATTTTAAAATGGAAGGGGCCAAACCCAAAATACTAAAAATAACATTATCAAAAATTAACAATGTTTATTAATATAGTAATTTTTATGTTAAGTGTATCATATTTAATACATTTTATTTCATTATAATTACATTTCAATTCATTAGTTTAATTATTTTGACTAATCTAACAATAAAAGACGTTGATGAGATTTTGAAAAAAAAAATGTTTTCATTATTTATTTCTACCAAAAATCAAAACAAACAACTGTTTGTCATTAACGCAATCTTCTATTTTTGTTGATATCAGTTTTCTTTTGAATTGAGGACCCCAAATCACGAAGGCCTCGGTGCGTCGCACCTACTGCACCACTGCTACGGCGCTGTGTAACACGATTATTGATTGATATATATATTAAAAACAATAAGTGTTAGTATTCAACTTACCAAGTCAATAATAATATTATCGATTTCATTTTTGACTTTTTCAACATGATCCTTGTGGCCTTTAATCAAAACTTTAGTAGAATTGGAATTAACTTGTGGATATATAACAGTAACTCCATTATGTTTCTCACTTATCTGTTTTATTACTTCAGCGTGGTGGGCAACAAAATTATGATTATATTTTGGAGGAACGTTTATAGTGACTTCAATTGTGTTTTTCTATAACATTTTAATGTATTACGAGATTATAATTATTATTATTATTGTATTATAATTCTTGTATTAAATAAATAAATAAAAAGGTAATAAATGTTAATTATTATTAATTATGTTAATTAATTATTTTTTATGTAATAACTGTTAGTCATAGATTTATTTTATGACTTTAATAATTCCAATAACTATAAATAAAAATATTTGTACAGTAAATACTAACCAAGTCTTTAACAATTTCTTTAATCTTACGTTTCGCTTCTTCAACATTTATTTTGTCACCTTTTATGATGACAGCACTATTGCTAGAAGATATTTTCGGAAATGTTATAGACACTCCATTGCAATCATTAATAATTCGATTGATGACTTCACCACGTCTTGCAATAAAGTAATTATGATACTTAGGATCAACATTTACTACAGCTTGAATAGTATTTTCCTAAATCAAAATTTTTAATGATTATATGGTTAACTTATTTAGTTATATTTAGGTACATCAATGATTATTTTAATTGTTTATCTTAAGTTATTTCATTTTATATGACTTATATATCAATAGTACATTATTGTAAAGAAAACTATGAACATTTATGTAAATATAACCTCAATATAATTTCAATAAAAAATAGACAGGTTAGTTTAAATACACGTGCATTTGTATTGAATTATACATACCAAAACTTTAGCATGGTCTAAAAGTCTTTGTTTAGAAAGAGCAACATCTGCTTTGCTATCACTGATCACAACTCTATCTCCAGCACCAAGATGAGGAAATTCAATTTTAACATCGCCACATTCTTTTTCCAATTCGTTTAAACATTCTTTTTGATTGACCACTAAAGTGACATGATTCTTTTCATCGATTTCTACACGTTCTTTGAAGACATTACTAATATCGGCTATCATAACTTCAAATTTTGCTTTTGCTATATTAACATTCTCTTTTTTACCAACAATAGTTATATTTTCATTAGTGGAATCAGTTTCAGGAGGGAAAATTATTCTTGTATTCGTTAAATATCTGATCTGGAATCCAAGTGTAAAATCATATATTAACACATTGTACCCTTATACTAAATTATTTTAACAACATACCTTTTTAACATTGACTCCATTTGTTCCAATTAAATATTTGTGAAACTTCGGATTTACTTTCAAATCAAATACATATTTATGAACTTCATCAACCATTGTCTGAATTTGTGTAATAACATTTTTAACATCATCTTCAGGTCCTTTGATAACTATAGTCTATGAATTAAAGTTTAGCTTTAAAATATCATTTTACAATTTTTGTAATTGATTTTAGCATTTGGGAAATTTTCTTGAAAATGTATTCATTGTATTAAGGGAGGGGAAGCAGTTTCTTCTCTTGAAATAATCGTCTCCTGCTCAAAGAAAGAAACTGCCAGAGATCAGGTTCGAATCGATGTCTGAGCGTATGTCACGCATATAATAACTTATACAATTGGTTAAATTGTCATTTTAATTTATAAGTTTAATAAATAAGTATATTCTTACATTATCTCCTTTAACAGTTGGTAAATTCAATGTCACATTACCACCACAATCTTCTTTTATAGATTGAATGAATTTATTCCCAAGATTTACAATAGCATTTCTAACTTTAACATTTCCCAACACCATTTCCTTTGTTATTATGTCTCCCTAAAAATACATGATTGATAAATTAAAAATAAAATTGAAAAATAAATAATCTTTATAAAAAACCAACAATTTCATTTTGTATTTCTTTAATCATATCATAAGCGATCAAAACTTTTCTTTTGTTTCCCATGACTTTAATAACATCCTTATTGTCTCCTTCACGTGGTAAAAAAATTCTCGTATCAGTCTCTTCTCTAATCTAGAATATTAAATTATATAAATAACAATATTTCTAAAGGTCGAATCACAAAAGTTAATAAATAATAATTACCTTTTTAATAAATATTGCTCTCTTTCGAGCACTAAGTTTGTGAAATTGTTTAAAAATAGGAATTTCCAACACATAGTTGATTTCATCCAATACTTCGGTCAATTCAGCTAATGATTTAAATGCTTTATTTACATCATCGTTCAAACCTTGTATTTTAACTATATTATTTCTAGCCTCAACTAAAATATCGAACCAAATATTATTTATAAACTCTCAAAATACAAAAAATACAAACATATTAATACTATTAATTACCTGGACTGGGGAATATAATTTTAACATTAAATGTTTTCTGAAGTTCTCGAACTTTTTCACCATTGAATCCAATTATCGCTCCGTGGTGACGTTGATCAATTTTTATTTCTTTTTCAATTTTACTTTTCAACTTAATTATAATTTCCTCCAATTCCTAACAAAAATTGTAATTATTAAAAATTACGAAAGAAACTATTTGATGGAAATTTATTAAAATACCCGATTTCGTTAATACATAATACTTGTAAATTTTTTTCTAAAAAAAAACATATCAGAAATCTTTTAAAAACTTTTAAACCTATAAGTAATATTAAAATTAAAAGTTCATTGAATTCGTATATTGTTATATCAAAATTTTATTATTATTAAAATATTAAATTTTATAAATATTAAAATTCTCATTTATTTATATTTTACTATAAAAGTATAATAAAAATTATCGACATTTTAATTTAGAAATCGTGAAGTTTTCAAATATTTATCAAAAGATTTAATTTTAATTTAATTAATAAAATAAATAAACTAGTACGGTCACAATTAACCATTTTAAAAATAGACATTATCGGTTTTGTCAATTTTTCTCCAACCTATTCATTCTAGCCATTCTTTTCGAGAATTAATTTACTTTAATGTGTTAAACTTAAATTCCGATTCATTAAAACATATTTTTGATACATACTTGAACTACTTTTTTCGTGGAATCCTTTGTTCCAGTTATATAAATTATATCAGCCGAATTTTTCATACACGGTATTTGAAGACGTGCTCCTGTACGTTTTTCAATATTCTTAAGATTAAGTCCTTGTTTGCCTAATAACGTACTTCGATGTTCTTTTGGAAACGGTGTAGTAGTAGTTTTAATCTGAAATTTTAATGTTTTAGTTAAAATTGCTAAAAAAATATTTTTTTATTTATTTATCCGTAATAAAACTATAAAATAACAAATGATTCGTTAAACATTTTAAATTATTATGCACATTTATATATTATAATATAAAATAATAATAATAATAAATTATTCATAATTTGTACACAACAATATAATATATATATATATATAATAAATATTATTTTTATCAGTTAATCTTATTAATTCCAACTTAATTAAAACTTATTTACTTGAGTTTGATCGATTGTGATAATCTTTTGTTTTGCTCGTTCAACATTAACTCTATTGCCGCTGATTTGTAAAGTCAGATCCATGGTTTTTGAAATACAAATCTCTATTCCTACATTATACTCTTTCCCAATTTTCATATATGCTTCCTTACATTTTTCATGCTCTAATTGATTATTCCTGTCCCAATGTCTATCTTGGGCAGGTATAGTAATTATCTACAAATTTTACAAAATAAAAATTAAGATATTTTTTTATTTATATTTTAGATATAAATCAACAAAAACTTTCTAAACTATTATGTTATTTAAAATCATAATAATGATGTTCTTTAATATGTAAATTATCGTTCTATAATTTTTATGTTATTTTTTATTTAACTGTTGACACAAAGTTATTATAGCTCAACAATTAAATCATTTGAGTAAGATAACTAAGTATGCACTTTAACATTAATATACAATAATCATTATCATAAAATAATATTAATATACTAATATATTTTATAAAATATAATAATTTGAGATAATTATAAAATAAGTGTTAATTTTGATTGACCAATTAAAATTTAAAAGTAACGAATAACATATCAACTGGTTAAAGACGTGATCATTTAAATGAATAAAGTAGAAAAGAATTTGGGCTTAGGAGTAAGGTAATTGCGTAGAAGAGCTGTAATAATAAAAGAAGGGAAAATATTAGATTTATTAATGCTAGAAGACCTGAGATAAATTGGAAAACGGTATATCGTGCATAGGACTATTAAGTAATAGGATATTATTAGAACCAGTGATGGAGGTGCAAGAAGCTTTGGAAAGAGGTTTGATAAGAGGAGACGTGAGTGCAATATTTTTATTTTGATGATTACAAGTGGGTTGTTTTGCGACGCTTAAGAAGTAATTTATGTTTAGGACAACCTTTATAATTGGAAGTATGATCACCCGCGCAAAACCCACACTTGGTTGAACAGTCTTTCTCTTTGATGTAACTGTTTCAGGATTGATTTCCCCCACGTTTAACACAATGTGAAGGATGAAGAGTCACCATTATTTCCGGTATTGTGATGGTAATATTTAACATTGTAACCGTAGCTATGTCATTTTAGACACTGAGATGAATCACTATGTCTTATTGGGTGCTTCAACTTAAATTTTTGTATGCAAAATTGATAACCCATTAAGAACTTTTAATTGTAATTAAGAATTTTTTTTATTATTTGTATTTGGATTAATTTCAACAAACAACAGCAGAAGCATATGGCCATTTTGAATGACATTCGTAATTCTTTTGCGGGAATCCAATTCCAATAGGGCATCTGATATATATAGTAACCTGATGTTTTTTTATTGATGGTACGATTGATTCTTTGGTTATATTATGAATGTCACAAGAGGTGTTGAGTTTGATTTCTTTGTCCACTTCGCTTAAAAAGATAGCGAAACTAATGGTGTTTTTTCCCCGTATGGATAGGCTATGATAGCAGCGATCGTTTGGGTTTGGTAGTAAACGTTATAGGTATATTGTCCATCTTGAAAATGAAGTCGCATAAATATAATACCGTGAACTAAACTAACTAACTTAACTTAAATAAACTAATAAAGTAACTTAATTAAAATTGCGGTAACGGAACGAGCAAATTATAATCTCACTGACATGCGACCGTGTTACAAGTCAATATCAGACTGATCGTTCTAATACTTATTAATTACTATTAAAATGGCATGATAAATTACTTCGTTCACCGTTGAAGATTCGACTTTACTCCGTTTTTTTAATGGGACAGTCCCGATTGTGTCCGATGTCTTCGAAACTGGCAAAGCTGGAAATACGATATCGTAGCTGTTGCCAATATTCATAGAATCTCCTGAACTCGGTTGGTCAGACACCATTGATACATTCTTCATCATTGTAATTGATGTTCTGGACAGGTACTGAATTACTTTCCTGAAACCAAATCTGAAAACTCTAAAATCAAAATGCGAATGAATAAAAAAATTTAATTCGTTCGAATTCGATATCAATGTTCAACCAGAATTATGTTTCAGAAAGTGATTTGATATGTCATATAAATCAACTAAATGTTCTTCTATAACTATAAACAACTAACAAACTAAATCACCAATAGTTACAAATATGCAAAATATAATTTTATATCGATTAATAACGACTAATAATGCAATTTTTTTAAGTCTGTACTATCAAACGATAATCGATTGAAAAAATAAAATGTTCACATAAAAATCAAAAATGTATTTAAATATTAAGAAACTATTAAATACCATAAAAATACTATCATAAGCATTCAGTTTTAGTTTTAAGGCACTACGAATAATATATTTTATAAAATAACAGCATAATGACTAATATCGTACAAGTATAACTGATATTTATTAAAATGTCCAATTCCGTCAATATATAATTTTCTTAACTTTATAAAACTTTTGTGGCTTTCCGGTAATTTTGTTTTTGTTTTACTGCATTAAAAAATGTTATGAAAAATATTGAATCTAAATTTCAACATTTAACTATAACATTTTTTTAAGCTTTTTTAAAAAGAAAAATGTAGCGAATTTTTGTAATTCTTATTGAGTTTTATTAACATTTAATGTAAAATCACACTCAATTGTTATACTCCTATTTATTAGTTGGAAGATATGTAAGAGAAACTTTTTATTACATTTTTAAGACTATTTTTTCAAAATTTACCATAGTTATTTTATCTTTGACGAAATAATTACGAAAGCTTGAAATGTTAAAACATAGCATATATTTATAACTTAAAAAAAAGGCTATATCTTTGGAAAATTATACTAGAAATAAAAATATTCAGAAAAAATTTCAAGGTTCGGCAATTACTATTTTTTGGGTTACGACGTTATCAAAACCCTATTTTTCATAAATATTGTCGCTTGTTTTTTTATAATTCTTCGAAGGTTTTCGTAATTAATAAAAAAACTGTTGGGAAATTTAATAAATTTAATAAATTTACCTCCCCATAATGTACTAAGATAACAAAATTTTCATTTTTTCCTATAATTTTTGATTTCTCTTTCTGGTAGAAATCGTGCACAAAACCATAGTGGTTACCTATATGAGCGTCCTGCAAGGGTTAATCTTCGCTTGTCAGGTCACTGCCACATTTATATCAACGGGCATGACGTCCACAAGCGATCCACAGAACAAAGCCTTGGCCCAACCAACATTAGAAGCTAAGCGCAACCAAAATCCATTAAACTCAAAATCCAAACACCCAGTTTATGGCAATGATTTTGCCTATTAAAATGGACATTTGGCAAAATCTGCCCGTCCATGTGCAGTTATCAGAATTCAATAACTGATTGATACAACGCCCGCGACACTCATTAAAAAATCATTGATGATAACTAGAATTCAGATGTTTAGACATGGCATATTTTTTTCGCGCAATCAGAATTATACCCTAATATGATATAAATTCGATTTATGAAATCTCGATTGCAAATATGCAAACTTATTTTGCACATTTTTGCATACTTGACATTTTTGAGCATATAAATGCATATATCGATTGTTTCTAAATTAAGTAGCATATATTTTATAAATTATATGTATAATATTAAATATTTTGTATATTATTATTATTATTATTATTAATACAGAGACATAAGAAAATATTAAAAATGCTTGGGTCCAAAAACTTCAGCTCTGTGTTACAAATAATGGAGGTCACTTCGAACATTTATAAAACAAAATATAATGCATTATTTTCGTTTTTATGTAATAAAATCTTTTTTTTTTCTATTAACAATCAAGTTTAAAAATAATATATGAATTTAAATTTTAATGTTTCCTAAATCTCCACTAATAATTATATATTGACAGATTGCCATAAAAAATCAGCTCTCCAATCGAGATTGATTAAATCGAGCAATTCGTGTTTTGCTAGGAGTAGATAGAAAAAGGGCATTCTGGCCCATCCTCACCCTCCGAGATCCTCCGCCACCGCCGCTGACCACCCAACACCCTTCACCACCATGTCTACCGACTAATCTTAGAAGACACATGAAAAATAAACATGGTGGTATGTATTTATTATCACTTATATAATATTTTTATTTTTTTTTAATTGCTTATGAGTTTTAAGGTATTACAACCAGTTCAACGCGTTGAAATAGCACAACAGATTGTACCATGTAACGAAATTGCTCCGCAAATTATTGTACCAGACATTCATACCAACAACGAAGAATAATGGGGCGATAACGGTGATGATGATGAATTGCTTAGTTTCTTAGCGGATGGTGCGGAAAGTTCATATTTGTGTGATAATCCAGGTAAGATTTATTTTTAATATAACGCGTAAGATAGTTCTCCAAGTCTATTTTTTCTGTAGGATTCATGGCATGTAAAAGACCGATTAACTCTGAGGCCGTAGGTATTCAAAAAAAGACTCGTTTGAACATTGTTGAAAATACACCCGGTTTTGTGCGAGTAGACTCATCTTTTTATAATATCATCACATGGTATTATAAAAAGAATATTAGAAATATCGCCAATTATTCGTCATTTCTCATTTCGATCAAAGCCGAACTACAACCTAACCTAACCTATCCAGCGAAGCCTGAATCGTGGATTATATACCAGGACTGTGAGTATATATGAGTACTTATGAGACATACTGTATATTTTCCCCTCCTAATACATTTCCAAGTTACACCCATGTATGATCGTTTAAAAATTTAAGAATTGTTTTTAATGATACCCTAATTAAAACAAACACATAACAAAGTCGTTAAAGTTTTTATTAAATGTACGAATACATATATTGTAATAGGCGAATAAATTATGATAATATTTTACGAGACCACTTGTTCAGATGATGGTAATTTAAATCTCAAGGACCCAAAAAACATCGTAAAAATATTTTCAATTTAAAAAAATCTATCAACAGCATTTATTCCCAATAAAATTTGATTATTTAGTAGTCATAATATTGCCGTTTTTTGTTTTGTAGAATACAATGAAAATATCATTATTTTTATTCTGACAATGATCAGTGTCGTAACTACACTAATTTGGACCCGTATGTAAATAAAACGAATGCCCCCCCTTCCGTCCGTGACCGGAGTCTGCAGGGAACCGTACCTTTAATCAATTACAACCAAATTATTTTAAATTTCGATTATACAAGCCGTAAAAGAAACTTTGATGTACGTTAATGTGTACAAAACAAAATCGATCAATTCAATTAATAATTATTATTACAAAATGGTTCAATTTTCTCGCTACAAAGTTATATAAATTGATCATAATATAGTGGTGGATAGATAGTGCTCGCCTTGAACGCGAGGGACATAATACCCCAACTATTTTTCAGAAATTTTACCGTCCTCTTAACTGTTATTACGTTATAATATAATAGCACTTAACAGTTATGAGGACGCTTTTTTTTTTTTTATTGTAAACAGAGTAAACCTCTTTTAATTCGAAGTCAAGCACTATGGAAAGAGGGATATTTAATGTTACGGAGAAGTGAAACCAAGGGCTCTCAAAAATGTATAGCTCGCATTCAATAAACAAATTATTATAATATTAATAAACAAATAATGCGGTCAACATTGACCGTAGTGCTCGAGGATTACAAATAATGTTTGTCCCGCGCGCGTTGTCGCCGAACTTCATGAGGAGACATCGAGGCGCCCCCTCCATCTTGTGCTCGTGCTCGACCAGGTCCGATCATGCGCCAGCGGCGCCCGACCGTCTGTCTCTGGTCCGGTCCCGTCTCGTCCGGTGCTGAGCTCTCCGGTGCCTGGTGGCACGTTTTTGTCAAAGACTTACGTGCAAGTTCACACCGTGGTCGGCCATTTTTCGCACGTGTGGGACTGTGACTCCGCGACATCCACATCTCCCCGGGGCAATCCGCCAAGAGTATCGTCGTCTCCAGTGACCGGTGCCCAGAACGCGTTGTTCGCCGTTCCTGTTGTTAGGTGCCACTTCCATTCGTCAATGAGGTCATCCTACCGGTCCCGGTGGTTGTCGCACGCGGCGATTGTAAACTGCGCCCAAGGTACAGGTAACACAAAAACACACATGTAAACTGATTTACGTATTTACCAAGTGTAAAAAGGTGACATATAAACTGCGCCCCGGTTAAATTTTATAAATGAAGAGCTATATTTTATGTATTACAGCCATATAGTATTGGCTTTATATCAATTGCGCCGAAAATTGCAGGTAAAGAAAGAAAAATTATGGGATGGAAAAAAGCGACGACTAATCGTACACATTCGATAAAATACAGGAAAAAACCGCACACTTTTTTAAATTCTTGTAACCAAAAAATCGCACATTTCATAATGATATATAATCTATTATTTATACTACATATTTATTCAAAAACAATTGATTGAGGTACAATGTAAATAGGTATTGAAAAATTTAAAAAAATATATAAAAATGTTTGTGGCTAAAATTTTTTGCTGACGTTTTTTCAAAAAATTAAAATATAAATAAAAAAAATAAAAATTGCCCCCTTTATAACTATCTTCTTCTTTTTCTTAGGGTTTATTGGGCCTTTAAGACCATCCCGTTTCACAACCTTCATTACTATCAATAGTTTTAAAATCCATTTATAAAAACACTTTTTTTATAATATATATAAATATATATGTATATAAACTTTACGTTGTACCACGCGTTTCGGTTGACAAATTTACTGGTTATTTTTCGAGCACATCAACGTGCGATAAGATAAGCTTTTGAGTGTAACAATTAACTTTAAAATTATATATAAAACATTCGTCTATACAAAATACATTATTATTAATACATTATATAGTGAGGTTTTTACCCGCTATAAGTGTGCGATATTTAGCTGTACGATATACTTACCTGGCAATCCATAAAGTGTGCGATTTTTGTCTACCAACCTTTCTAAGATTAAAATCAAATGTGTGCGGTTTTTGGATACAACCGAAAAAAGGTAAAAAAAACGTTAGGTTAGATTAGGTTAGGTAAAAAAAAGGACAAAAATGGAGTCGTTTTAACACATCAACGTGTTAATGTAATATACATTTGCACGTCGTTTTTCGCTTAGAGATAAATTGTTGATTCAACTACAATTTATTGTTAAAACATTAAATTTATTGTAAATGCTTGATTTGTACATTCAAACTCTATTAAGGGGTAGATACAACATCAACAGTTTTGAAAATAACTATGTTATTAATCACAATGACAATTATAACAAATTTAAAAATAACAAAAATTATAGATTATTCCAATTCCACTTGTCAAAAAAACATGTATAAAGTAAATTAATTTTAACAAATATTTTAAGTTATATAGATTACATTTGTAATAAGGGTAATTTTTAAGCTGTTTGTAGAAATAACACATTTTAATAGTTTTATTCACTCCATTAAATGTCAACAATTTTGATATAACATACATTTTTTGTTGTATTGACGCTATATAAATTCGTTCAAAGTAATTAATAAAAATAACACAGTTTAAAATTAATATTCACTTCATTAAATGTCAACGAAACTTACTTATTATTTTTTTTTTTTTTACAATAAGTATAAGTGATGATGATATCATAATGAGATAGGGAATAATCAATATATTGATGAATCTTCACGGTGGTGAGAAATGATCTCTAATCATTAAAAATTTCTGAACTATCTGAATCTAAAACTTTCTGAATCTAAAGCAGTGTTCACATTAGTAAAAATTTACATTGTGCGTCAAACATAGAATTCACCGCTAATATTTACGCAGAAAATGTATGTTGCGGCTCAAAAACACATAGTCCACGGATTGTATGTGGAATGCGCCGAAAATATTTATGTGTGCTCCTATGCCTAACCACACACGCACATATTTAGTGCAGCATGAACAAATTTGGGCCGATTACAACGCACAGTGTAAATTTTTACTAGTGCGGACGTGGCTTAATACTGATGCCTATATATGACATGCATACATTTTGTCTATGTCTACTGTGCCACACCATCATGATTCAATATATAATATAGTATATTTACAATACATACATAACACCATAAGACAATATTGTATAAATAACATTATGAAACCAACATTTTGGTTGTGGTATCTTACTTGCATGTGTACATGTACCTACACTTATGCATATAAGTGTATATTTTCATTAAATCTAGAAGGTAAATAATTTAACTCTTTGGTTGGGTATAATTTTGTTTTATTTAATGTCACAAAAATACATAATTAATTAAAATAAATAACAATATAATATAATGTATACAATAAATTATAAAATAATCAACATTTGCTCATGTTCAGATAAATTATTATCAATGGTATCAGATGATTATATTACTGAAGTACCTATATTATTTATTTCTATACAGGTAGTATTCACTCCAGTAGTTACTGGAGAAGTATAAAATTTCATTAAATGTTTTCTAAATTTATCAGATCCTCGAACATCTGTTACACAACAGTCTTGCCTACATATATATAATGAGTACCTACCATAGTAATGATATATATTTAAATGCAAAATAAGTTGGTTAATTTTAAGATATTTTAATAAACTGATGGAACATAAATATATAATAAAGTTTATTTAAACTTATTAAAATTTAAAAAATAATAGTAGTAATAATATACTAATTGTTATACAACTATTTAAGTCTTGATATAAATATAATAAGTTAAGAATTCCCTATTCTTAAACAATAAAAATTAAATTAAAATCAAAATATAAAAGGTAATAATTATGAATTAAAATTAGCTGTGATAGAAGTAGTTATTTATTTATTTATTATTTAATACGGGACGTGCCCAATTACATGGTATAGTGCATAGAACATGAGAGAAAAAAATTACATACATAAATAACAAAGATTACAAATATTAAGATATAATGAACGAACAGATAATAGTTTAATGCTAGGTACTAAGGAATAGTGGGTCCTCGTTGGCCATTTTCATCATACGGACTATAGGACGATTTTTTAGATAATTACAGCGGCTAAAAAGAATTTGGAAAGGGAAAGAGAATCTGGAATAGAAACTTGGAACTCGGAAATTAAGTTTATATAGGAGGGCGGGGGAATCGACTTCACCATTTAGAAGTTTGGAAAGAAACATAAGATTAGCCTGTTTCCTCCTGTCACAAAGAGTAGACAAATGGAGGCTTTGCAGTACAGGTTGATACTCGTGAGGAACACACTCAATGCGTAATGCAGAAGCGGCGAATTTCAAAAATTTACGTTGAACTCTTTCCAGTTGATTACTACCATCGAATGTGCACGGATCCCAAATAATTATCCCATACTCCAATATAGACCGAACAAAAGAGCAATATAGGGTTTTAAGAGAGTTGGATAGTTTAAATTCAGCCGAAATTTTTTTAACAAAACCGAGAAACTTCAAAGCCTTACATGTAACTTTCTCAATATGAGTACGAAAAGTAAGAGATCGATCAAAGGTAATACCAAGGTCCATAACACAGTCACCTGGCTGCTTAAGCGCAATGTCATTTATGGTGTATGTAAACATAACGTGCTCATTGGAACGAGTGTAGGTCATGGTATGACATTTAGGGATATTAAACTCCAAGCCTAGTCCCCTCGCCCAAAGAACGACAGCATCAAGATCATGTTGTAAAAGTTTACAATCTTCAACGGTGTCAATACGGATAAATAGTTTGATATCATCAGCAAACAACAGAAATTCGCTGTGCTATATCACATCTTTAATGCCATTAACAAAGAGTGCAAAAAGGACGGGTGATATATGCCCGCCTTGGGGTACACCAGAGGTTACACTAACTGGGCTGGAACAGAAGCCATTGATCTTAACAACCTGTTTCCTCTCAGACAAATATGAACTGATCCATGATAATAGAGGCTCATAGAACTCATATCAACTTATAGAAGTTGGTTTATCATATTTGGTGAACAATTTAAAAAATGTTGTTGAATCATAAGCCAAGAGTCATAACTTTCCACAGGATAAGCACAATTAAATACAAAATATGACTTAAAACAAATTTCAAGTGCTTTTAAAGGACAGTCAAAATACCATAACTTTTTATTTACCCTGATGTAACAAGAATCAATGGAGCTGAAATCTTTTCCAACAAAGATTATATAAGGCTGGATTGTAGCTCCATATTGACTATATTTTAAACGCCTCTTATCAATATCTTCTTGAAGACCAATCAAATTCTAAATAAATTCAACATTAATATTAGGATGCATTTATTCATAAACTAATTTTAAAACAGAAACTTACAGGGCAAAAATAAGTGAATGCAGAAGAAGATTCTAACAATGAAGGCTTCCATTATTTATTTTTTCCAGTGGGTAAAATATTTTTCATCAATGTTTTTGTTGGAATCAAATAAGGAATGAAATGTAATTTTGAAACATTTACTGTTTTTAAATCTGAAATAATAATAATTACAATAACTATTAATACAAAATATGCAACAATACTAACAATAATAATACAATGATACTCAATCATAATATTTTACTAACTATGTTAATACATTACTAAATACTAATACAGTAAAATAAATAATGTAAATATAAATAAAAAAATATGTATTATAGGTGATATATGGAAATAATTTGATTGTAACCCAGATATTCATTAACAAAAACTATGCCTAAAAATTAAAATAGGATTTTTCCATTTTAACTTGTACAAAAAAAAAAAAAGAAACTTAATTTAAGACATAGTTATTAGTAAAATAAATTAATAATGAATAAAATATTATTTTTTAGTAAAATATTAATTGAATAATATAAACATATTAAGCTCAAATCATGATTTTTGATATTGCAGAGCATTTAAAAATTTTATATGCTTTAAATATGTTTATTGGGCATACATAAAAACATTTTAAAAAGCTAGTTGGACCTAGTTGATTAAAGAACATCACAGATTTTTATCCAATATGAATCCCGAAATATCAATTTCAACTTTAAACTGTTTTGTGTGAATAGGGATTACCACTTTAATAACTTTACAAGTTAAAAATGAGTTAGCTTTCCCAAGATTGGTACAAAAATAGCTGTTCTTATTATACTATACTCACTTCTATTGCGTTCAGCAGAATCCAAATTTGACAATAGATTAGAAGCATATTTATCCTTAATACTGCTTTTTCTTATTTTCAATAGTTTAGTTGAGAACACTTCCCAACTGTTTACAAAACAATTAAAATCTTTGAATAAATCATGTGGTTCTGGGTACCCAACACGAAAGTCTTCAACAATCTGTCCAAAATAATAATAATTTAAATTATAATTATATATATGATTATATTTTAAAATGTATCTTGATTAGTATATAATACACGGGTCACGGGTAATATATACCAGTTGTGATGATAGTTATTATGATACTTGTGCTTTAATATATTTTTAGTATGTGTACCCGGGATCCATGTACCAGTGTATTCTAATATTCGTTCATGATCACGTCGTCTTATTTAAATACATTTATTATTACAAAATATTTAATAATATGCGTATTAACATAGCTGTAATGTTTATACAAAAATATAAAAGGTCCGTAGTTTGTGACGCTATCTGTAGCGAACACGGAGTACTGTACAAGAATAAAATATAATTTACAATAATAGCAATAAACATATATGTTATAGATTGTTAATTTTAGGGAAGCATTAATGTTAGTAGACCATTTAATTTCATCAGTTGTGTTTAACTGAAAGCTTTTATAAGTCAACAAAATATTCTATAGCATTTCTTATATCTGAATAACCTAATATTAATATTATTTAGATGAAACTCGTATTCTATTATAGTTTTAAATACATTGAACAATTTGTTTAGAAATCAACATTTCTTTATTTAATAGAATTTATTAAAACTGATAAAAAAAACATACCAATTTATAACTATTCGGACACTGAAGTGCAGGCCAAGATTTAAAAAAGTCGGCTAAATATTGATTGCTAGGCCCTAAAATTTCATGTTTTTGCAGTTCATACGTTAACTGCCATTTGGACAGAACAATGTCAAAATTTTCTGTCAACCCTTCATTTGCTAACCATCGTTTAATAGCCACTGTATCTTCTATAACGTGTACAATTTAAAATATATATTATTAATAAGTTATAAAAATAACCATTATTTATTTGCATTAAATTTTAAATTCTAGAAAATGAAATATCTGTAGCCGACAGTTGTAAATTCTTTACAACTGAAGCAGAACTTATAGCACCAACTGCCCTTAAACGCCTAGCTACATTCTTCCACCTTTCTATAAGTTTTTCTTTAGCATGAGTCTGAGTTGGTCCCTCTGACCTAGCTGGTATAATGTAAACACTCTAAATTCAAAATCAAAATGAAAACTATTTATCTGAGGTAAAATTAATTTTATCTATAAGAAAGTACTGTGTAAATATTGATTTATTACCTTATGCTCTTTAGGAAATACTTGCACTATCAAATCAGATATTTTTTGAAAAAATAAATCATTACCTCTGTAATATTTTGAAAAATCACCAATTTAAATATTTTAAATATAATAAATAAATATGTTTTATTCATACTTGCTCTGCTCCTGGAATAGATGATTTATTAAAAGTTGAGTCAATATGTTCTGAGCTTCATCAGATAGAAATCCATTATTTTTTTTTGAATCCGCAAGTACATATCTACCATCATTTGTTGTATGCAATTTTTCTAATAGTGTCTATTATTATGACATTATAATTATTAATATTTATTGTAATGGAATTTAATATATCATTTGTATTTTAACTAAAATGTTCAATTAAGTATCTAATTTTTTTAATGTATTTCATTCAATAAGTGTAGGTAAAAAAAAAATAACACTTAATTGACTATTTTATAAGTAAATATTTATGAATTTGGATGCCTACATAGGTAATTTATTTTTCAAAACAAAAATACAAGATAATGTATATTTAATAATTTCAGTCATTTTAATTTCACAAATTTTCATTTATTTATTTATGGTTTATTTAAATGGCTAAATCCCAATAGATGCTTTAAAATTGACATTGTGTTAATGATAACAACAGTTGCATTGTACTGTGATACCAATCTTTTAATAATGGACAATATTAAAACTGATAAAATGTCAAGTGAAAAAAAAAATCAGTAACCTATATTATGTTATTTTTATTTTTTATTTAGCCTTTGTATATTAGGTATGTTAATCTTAATCCAATATTTCCATAAAACACATTAAATTATTTTTAATTATTAGCAAAATAAAATTTTTTAAATAATTTACTTTATAATTATGTCTAATTATTATTACAATAGTTTATGTTTAACCATCACCATTTATATAAATTATATTTCTCAAAAAATAGTAAGTGGGGAAAAATTAATAAATTGTTAAAGAAAGTATTATGATTAACTCTAAAATTGTATTAGAAAATACTTGAATTTGATTCAACTTACTTTAATCGACCATTACATATGCTTATATTTACCATATTTGCTATGATCCTTATATAAAACTTCTACTTGTTTAACATTTGTTGGACTCTGATTAGTTTTATTGTATAATTAAATGTCTATCAGTAAAGAATTCTGTGGATCAGGTAATTTATTTTCGTTTTCATAAAATTGAGTTGACTGCATAATCTGTGACGACGTTGTCTCCAAAGAATCCACGAAAGGATGATAAAAAAATTCTAATATATAGTATAGTAAATTTAAAAATTAAGTACCAAATAATCGAAAAACCGTTGAAAAGTTAGACTTACTTCGTCAGGTGGAAACAAATCCATTGCCAGTAATAGATTCACATCGGTTGAAGCAGAAATTATAACAAAATAAGTGTAAATAACAAATCGTGTGGAAGTGTGAACATCGAAAATAATAAATATTGATATAAATAAGAAATAATTGTCCTTAATCATTATACTTGGAAAAAATAATTTTCCTGTAGTAAAATCTAAATTTAGAATGTTCTTACTATCAATTCAACCGTCACTTTAACCTTTAAATATTCAGATATAACACTAATGGTGTTGATTTAACAATAATGTCAGCTAACAAATTAATTATCTATAGAACCTATTGTTTGAATTAGGTATACAAATGTTATTTTAACACTTTTATAATTTATTATAAGTTACAGAAAACTCAATTTAAGATTAGTATACTCAACTCTTAAGTTTAAGTAAAATTAACTACAAAATTCTAAATTTGAATACTTACCAAAATTCAATTTAAATATAATATATTTTTGAAATGTTTTTAATTTTTGGTTATTTAAAACATGGGTGTTGTTAAAAAATATTATTTGATTCAACTCTCCATTTCCATTATTTAAACCACATTAAAATCTTAATATAATATTCATACATTCAACACCTTAACATAAGTAAAATCAACTCCAATATTTCTATGTGTATACATCTATTACACCGATCGATATTCGAGTTAATACATTTTGCGATTACCTCATTGATACATACATTGTTGAAAATTCAACTTTTCCCCTGTATCTTTGATAATCGTGTAACATATCTGGCCAAAGAACAACAAATACCTGTGAGGCATTTCACTCGGCGTTTGAGAAATATTTTTTTTCACCCCATCCAAATATTTTTGTTTTTTATGAAGTTTTAAAAATAATGTATACATTATTTATACAAAAAGAAATAATGATGTAAGATAATGTAATTATGTAATAATAAGATTGAATAAAAAAAAATTAATGTTTCAAAAAAAGTAAAAAAATTTTTTTTGTTACCAATATTTTTATAACACAATTCACTATAAACGTAATTGGTAAAATTAATTTCATATGGTCATCAAAGATGCCACCAGTGTTGTAAAGTATTTGAGTAAAAGTATTCAAATACTTTTTTTCGTATTGAATACTTTTTAAAATACTTTTATTTTTTAAGTATTTGGACGATATTTTAAATACATTTTTTTACTATTGAATACTTTTTTTTTATTCCTTTAATTCTTTATTCATTGTCAAATAATAATAATATTATATATATTTATCATTTATGAACAATTCGATATCGGTTTTAGTTTTCGTCTATTAATAGCTTTACGGTACGTTGTCGGTATCTAACAATATATATTATAGCGATTAGCGAACATTAGGTATGTCGTACCCGTACGGCGTGTGTACGTGTGTACGGAGACAACATATATTATGCGGTTACGACGAACTCTTAATTAAAATCTATATATTAATCTAATATAATGTAACATATACCCATTAATATTGACTGATTACTGATTCTGCTGTACAAAAATATTATTACTTATTAGTACTATACCTAATTACTAAGAAAATGGTTGTCAATATTTATCGTTTATCGTCGACTGTACGAAATATCTGAATATAGCTATTGCCTATTAATATAACGCCATAATGATATGTGAAACATGGTATTACTCATTTTATTTTCATAGTTTTATAAGAAAATAATATTATTTTTGTGTGTACGAACTACGAATAACAAATTTCCAATTGGTCATTAGCGCACAATCAGTTATACACTTTTACAATATTGCATATGGATTATTGAGCCCGACGCTGTTTTACACTATTGTAATATTTATTAGTTTATTATTTGGGTTCGTCTTATTCGTATCGTGTTCGCTGTTGTCTGCTTGACGTTCCTACAGATTTTATTAAATTGTAATACAATGAGTGATTGTGATTCTCCAACCGAAGTAGATCAGGTTGATCAGGTTGCAGATTCAGAAGAATCAGTTTTACCTTGGCCAAATTATCAACAATATTTTAAAGTATTAAGAGTCATTGAGGATAATTTTTTTTATAAGAAGCTGGAAGTGAAGTGCTTAAGTTGTGTCGGTACGAAGTGTTACAAGGTGGATTCACGTTCAAACTCTAATATAAGAAAACATTTAAGCGTAAGTACAATGTTAATTTCATATCTTCCAATGGCAGTTGACCCATCTAATGCCTTGTATGTGTTAAATTAATAATATGTAGTTCACTGGGTCTCTACACGAGTTATATATTATACTTTTTCATTTTATTCAGACACAACATCCAACTATATTAAAGAAAATTGATCACATTGATAATACAGTGAACCAAAAACACTACAAAGAGATGCAATGATGGATCATTGAAGCATAACGCTGGTAGTTCTTTAAAACAATCAGATAAAAATAACCAGATGAAACAACCAGTTTTTGAAGATTTTTTGAACAACAAAAAATTAACTAGTCAAAGTAAGAATGTGTATTGTTTATTTTTATTTTTGTCTTGTTAAATAGTTTTTAGTTACAGTATTAACAAAAGTAGTTGATATCTATATGACTACATGATTTACAATGTGCATAATATATATATTGATATATTTAAATATTTTAGAATAATTATAATATAATTAAAATTCATACCAATTGGCAATGAGCTACCCACTGGCCACTTTCAACCGTGATTTGTTATATTGTATCTTCAACAAATTTTTCATTTTTATATATACCTATGTATTATAATTTATACATTTAAACAAAAATTCAACAAACATAAACACTAAAACACAAATACATTTTAGTATTTAATGAAAAAATAGTAATTTAAATACTATATATAGATATAGTTGTCAATAGTCAATTAGTTATGTAACTAATGATTTTGATTGCAGGTACTTTAGATCAACTATTGCAAAAATTTATTGTAAGTGCTAATGTACCCTTCAGAATAATAGAAAATCCTATTTTGAAGGAAATAATTGGCAGAGGTTTCCCAAACAAAAAAATTATGACACGACCTACACTAATGAAAACTATTGAAAATGATTTTCAAGAATTATCATTAAAAATGAGATTTGAGGTGTCCAAATGTGCTCATATTGCTTCGACTGCTGACGGCTGGTCGATTTTTAAAAAGTAAATTTTTATTATTTAGCATAATAATCATAACAGTCATGTTCATTGTACATAGCTAGATACCAATTATTTAATATTATATTTTATTAGATCATACATTGGGATAACGGTCACGTGGATTAATGAAGATTTATCAAGAAGTACTCGTCTTTTAGCATTAAGACGACTAGAAGGTTCACACACATATGATATTTTAGCCAAAGCTATGGATGCAGTTTACACCGAGTTCGAAATTTCAGATAAATTATCATACTGTACTACGGACAATGGCTCAAATTTTGTAAAATGTTTCAAGTAAGTTATTCATTATGAATTTGTATTGATTGCTCATTAAATTAGTTTGTAATAAAATCCATTTAGTTAACCATCTAATTATCCTATTTTAAACTCTAATTTTTGATTATCTTTTAGAACATTTGGTCATATATTTGATGATGAAAATACTGATACATTGCTAGTGAACGATGCGGTTGATGATGATGTAGAAGAAATCGATGCAATCGACTTGAACATTCTAAATGATGAAGACCATGATTTGCAATATGCATTACCTAAACACCATCGATGTTGTGCATACACAATAAATTTAATAGCAACAACAGTAATTAAACATTTATTTAAGTAGATAACCTAATATAATTAAAGTATAAAATATAAAATTTGGTGCCCTTATTTAATTTTGCTTAAGGACTCAAAAAAAGCTTTGTCTAATCCTGCATACAAAAAACAGTCAAGAAGTACTTTTGCCAAGTCTACCGCTTTATGGAACAAACAAGGTCGCTCAACTAAGTCAGCTGATTTAATTAAACAAAATCTTGGCGTTTATTTAAGTACACCAAACGAAACACGTTGGAATTCATTGTATGACGCAGTGGTGTTGCTTAATAAATTAATTAGAAATAATGAACCTAAGTTTAGAATAATAATGGACGAATTGGTTATTGGCAGGTAAATTATAAATTCTAAATATATATTAATTATTTTATTTATATTTTTTATAAATAATATTTTCAGATTTAATAAAAGTGACATTGATTTCATGTGTCAATATCAAAAAATTATGGGGCCAATTTCAATAAGCTTGGATTTACTCCAGGGTGATACTAACATGTATTTTGGTCATCTACCTACAATTGAAGAATTAATCTATAAATATGAATTAATGATAAGTGATCAAACAATTTCAAATTATATGAAACCTCTGGTGACTGCCATACTTAATGGTATGTAATATTTAATATTTTTTAAATACATTAATCTTATTTATCCAAGTACTTTAATGTTATACATTTAATTTCTTTTCATTTTAGCTGTTTTTGGTTTTCTTTATTGGTAAATATTAAATATTCAATATCTCTTAGTTCTTACAGTCTTACTGATGTATAATGTAAAATGTTAATTAGCTGATCTATTCTTTATATTTATTTTTCTGTGTAGTAACTTCATTGAAAATAATTTTTGTTTTTAGGTATAAAAACAAGATTTGCCGATTATTTGATAGACAAATTTTTAATTACTGCTGCGGTCTGCCACCCACTATTTAAAACAGCGTGGATTAAAAATGACATAAAAAAACAATTGGCTTCAGAATATTTAAAAAGTGCCTGTTATGAGTTACATACCAATGAAAATGACAATAATGATGCAGAAGAAAACCAAGTATTTAAAGTATTCAAAGATTTATCTAGCTTTTTTACCTGGTCGCAAAATTCCCGAGAGGAAAAATCAACGGTTAATGATGAAATTGATAGATTTTTGGGTACATCTACAACAAAAACATTGGAATGTTTGCATAATTTACCCACTATCAAAAGAGTAAGATTAGTTGTAAACTTCTTATACTATTAGTAATAATATTACAAAAATATTTGTACCTTGTTTTCAGGTATTTGTGAAGTACAACACTCCGCTCACTAGTAGTGCGTCAGTAGAGAGAGTATTTAGTGTTGGTGGTGCCACAATAACCAAAAAAAGGACGAATATGACAGATAAGCATTTCGAACAAATAATGTTAATAAAATGCAATACTCAAATATTCGATAAATATATTATGATTGATTCAGAATTAAATTGATTTTTTTTTTTTTTTTGTATTTGAAACTTATTTCAAATACTTATAAAAAGTATTTGAGTAATACTCAAATACTTTTTAAAAGTATTTTTTACAACACTGGATGCCACCCATTGGTGGTACTCCACGGTTAAAAAAAAATGTGAAGATTAAGATTTGTTTAATAATAATAATTTTGTTTAACGTTTAATAAATAGTTTTGGTATTAAATTGTTTATTATTATTATTATTATTATTATTATTAAAAAGTCATAAAATGATTTTCATTCAACGCATTTTGTGTATCATATTATTATTTTTGTACATTCAATTTTTACAAATTGTAATTTTCGCAAAAAGGACACATTTCCAAGGATTTAAAAATATTGTATTGCATGTAATTTTATAAAATATCCTAAACTTTTTTCAGATTCTTACATACGAGTATCATTATAATTTTTATATAAAGGAATTCTTTAATTTTTTCCAGAGATATTGATTTTTCCCTCCTGATCAATTCATGAAATGCGGACGTGTACTCTTCTTACATTTAGTGATTCATTTATGTTCCTACATACTATACAAATGTACCGGTAGTGTACAGCGTGACGTACACTGTGACGCAATTTGTATACTACCCCGTGGAACGATTCTTATACAAAGACTCGTGATAATCGTCACCGTCGTCGTTGTCGTTCCGGGATATTACTCATACGATGTGATTTACATAAAATAAAATATGGTACACTGCACAATAATAATGTACGAGGTGTGTAAGCCGTGGACTGTGATGATCTTGCGTGTGGCTCGAGAAAAAAAATTCGAAAAATGTGAGCACTTTTCAAAACACCGACGCCGCCACCGTAATTGTTCAATTACCACACAGCCACGGGAGCAATGTCAAATGAACGACATTTGTTGGTCGGTTATTACTTATGCAAATCGTACCGACTTCGTAAACAGTGTATATTGTAACAGATGTATTAGCCGTGTCTTCACGTGTTTTAAATAATTCACCCCACTGATTGTAATATTGTACGCACACGTGTACGTGTAGAAGCAAGACTCACAAGGGTAGAAATAATACTCGTGGAATAATAATTATAATAATAATAATTTGGTTATTGGAAGTTCGGAAAATTATGACCTTGTGACCCAAATCCCGTGACCATGTGCAATACTTAGTTCTCACCACTCAAATATCGAATAAATAATTCGTGTTATACCATGCAGCACGCATGTTTACGTCATCATTATTCATAACTGGTCAATCACGTCTCTTATTATTCAACAAAAATAATCCCCTTAGTTTTCGGTGCTATTCAGACATTTTATACGTCCCAGCTACAGTTTGAAATTATTAAATACATATTCAATTAAAATATATCTTAAACCATATTATGTGCTATTTGTGTTGCAAATCTCTTCCTTCCGTTATATTGATCTAAATCCGCTTCTGAATATTATAATAGAATTATTTCTATAAAATTAATGTAGAAACAAAATATATTTTAATCGCATTAAACGTATTTCATATTATCAACATTATAAAAATTAAGGACGAGACGTAATATTCAATATAATTAATTTAATTAGTATCGGTAAAAAGGTGCTTAGATTGTACTTCTATAAAATTTCTGTTCACAAATGTTGCTTATACCTGAAATATAAAAATGTTATCTTATTACTAAGGCTAGGATTTTAATGACCCAAAAAACCTAAAAAAAATGCCCAAAAGGTAAAAAATGATTTTAAAATATTATAAAAATGCATTATAATTATTAATTAATATTTCGGTACAAAATTATTAAAATTATTAAAAAATAGCAAAAAAAAAATGTTAATTTAGGATTTTCTTAATATGAATACTAAAGTTTGAAGTTTTGACTTATCATGCAATGGCCAGCCATGAAAATTGAAATTTTCTGAAATAAACAACAAAAAATACTATAAAATAAAAAATATATACGTTTTTTTTTTTTTTTTGAAAATTACGTTTATGCTAAAGAAGTTGTTTGCTCGTTTCGTTTTTGAATACTACCATTGATTATAAATACTAGTATTTATAATCAATGATACTACGTAAATATTTATCGCGTGTAATATGTTGCTGAATTGTATATTTTTTATCTGCTGCAACTTTAACTTCACTGACTTTAAAATATAACACCAAATCATCGGTAG